AAATACTCAGTGATTAATAACAAAGATGAATCGTTGTTTGTGGTTGCTGAATACTCTGATCATATACCTGCCACTTCACCCTTCTATATGAGCACAGATGCAGAATTCCAGAAAAAATACTTTATAGATTATTAAAGAAATATTTGACAAAATAGATAAGTACAGTTGGTCTTTGAACAACACAGGGTTGAACTGCATGGGTCAATGAAAAATTTTTTCAATAAATATATTGATCTTTTTTTGAAGATTTGCGACAATTTGAAAAAACTTGCCAACTGTGTAGCCCACTAGAAACACTGAAAAATTTTTTAAAGTTATGTATGTCATGAATGCATAAAATATGTGTAGACACTATTCTATTTTTTTTTTTTTTTGAGACGGAGTTTCGCTCTTGTTACCCAGGCTGGAGTGCAATGGCGCGATCTCGGCTCACCGCAACCTCCGCCTCCTGAGTTCAGGCAATTCTCCTGCCTCAGCCTCCTGAGTAGCCGGGATTACAGGCACGCGCCAACATGCCCAGCTAATTTTTTGTATTTTAGTAGAGACGGGGTTTCACCATGTTGACCAGGTTGGTCTCGATCTCTCGACCTCGTGATCCACCCGCCTCGGCCTCCCAAAGTGCCAAGGGATTACAGGCTTGAACCATCGCGCCCGGCCGACACTATTCTATTTTTATCATTTACTACCATAAAATACAGACCTATCATAAAAAGTTAAAATTTATCAAAATGTACGCACACACTTGCAGCCCAAATATGACGCCATTTGTAGTGGGGAGAAATGTAAACAAACGTAAAGATACAGTATTAAATCATAACTGCATAAAACTGTCACACACACTGTACTGCTATAATAATTTCGTAGCCACCTCTTGGTGCTATTGCAGTGAGCCTAAGTGTTGCCAGTATCTGCTTTAACCTGTGTAATGCTAATCGCCTCTGAGTGAGCAGATCATCTCTCCAGTAAATTGTGTATTACAGTAAAAAGTTATTTTTCATGGTTCTCACATATTTTCCATCGTGTTTGGTGCAATACTGCAAAACTTTAATAACACTATGGCATCCATACGAAGTGTCACTGTTAATGCTAGAAGTGTTCCCATGAAGCAAAGTCACAACATTACAAGAAAAAGTTGAATTGCTTGATACATACCATAGATTGAGGTCTGTAGCTGAGATTGCCTGCTATTTCAGACAGACAATTCATCTTGTAAATAGACGATGTAAAGTTACAGTATTGATATAGTACAGTACTATGGTTTCTCTTATGATGCTCTTAATAAATTTCTTTCTCTACTTATTGTAAGAAGACAGTACATAATATATGTAAGATACAAGAAATGTATTAATCAACTCTTTATGTTATTGGTTAGGTTTCTGGTCAGTAGTAGGCTTATTAGTAGTTGTTCAGTTTTGGGAAAGTAAAGTGTTATATGCTCACGTGATTGGTTGGTGCCTCTAAATTCCATACTATTCAAGGGTCAACTGTATTGACAAGTGAATCCTGGATTCTATCCTCTTTTTTTTTTTTGTAGATGCAAGATCTCACCACGTTGTCCAGGCTGATCTTGAAACTCTGGGCTCAAGCAATCCTCCTGCCTCAGCCTCCAAAGTGCTGGGATTACTGGTGTGAGTCACCACAAATGGCCAGATTCCATCATCTTAAGGCCAATGTATTAGGGGGCTCATTCTTACAGTATGAGTAAGCAGGACTTATTTAACCATCAAAAGGGTCCTTTTATGGCCTATAATCCTTTACTCTCTATATATTGCTCCAAGGAATGAGACTACATTTCTTTCTCCTGTCAACTCAGCCTCAGCATATGTTATCTCTATTTTTCCCTTCCAGCAAAAGCTGCTTTAGGGAAACAATCTGATGAATTAGGTATAAATGACTAATAAGGCTTAAAATATTACTTTTCCCAGGATTATGGTTTTGTGCTAGAGAAAAAAAACTACTTAAGGGATAAAATTCTAATGGCAGAATTTCAGGTGAGTTGGAGAAAAGGTTTTTGGTTATAGGGACTTTTCTAGCCTGGATGGTAGTCTGCCAGATTGGTCCTGCGTATGAGTTTAAATTTTAAAAAGGCTAGGACCAGGGCAGGTCTCAGCCTAAAGCAGTGGCCTAATCACTTGTTTAGGTTTAGAGCGGGGCGCGGGGGGGGGGTGGGGTGGAGGTTGGTGGTGGTGGTAGGATTACTCGAATCTATGGCATCACATTTAAAGGGGTCTTGAATCAACCTGAGATTAGAGGCAACTCTGGAATCACAGAATCCAGCTGGTTTTCCACTGGTATGGGAGTTAGTCCATCCTGGGATGCTTTAGGACAATGACCCTTTCAGTTCAGAGCTGTGCCACTGAGTTCTAATCAGACCCACGCCGGTTTTTGAAAACAGAGAAAGAAATCTTCCTAGCGATGATTACAAATAGCTTGTACTTTAGCTTTGTATGCAGTGGTTAAGATTCATTTTCACAGAAAATAGATATCCAGCTTGGTATTACTGGTATAGCTGCCTACCATTTCCTAGCTTCTAGCTAATACTCTTACCTCTAATTCAGCACTGAGTATATCTGAACACTTCAGTACTACCTGTAAATCTTCAACTTCTGCTCTGTACTAAAGAAATAATACCTGTATTAATTCTAGCAGTTCTGCAAGTAGTTAAAAATGCTCCCAACCTGAATAAAATAACTTGAATATCTTCGGCGTTATTTCAAGTGTTTGCCTCTAATGTACAACTCCTTTTGGTAAATAATTACTTAGTGGAATTTATGAAATTTCCTTTGCAAGACAAAAAAAAAAAGTCTGTAAGGTATACAGCTCTTTATTCAAAAAATCGTCTGTAGGGGATATACCTCTTTATTCAAACTTGGTAATAAATAATTATCTCTGGAAGACAGAACTGAACCAGGGACTTCAGGGACTCAGTAATTATCATCACTGTTAAGTACAGCAGAGAATGGGGGTGGCGGATGATTCTTCCGCATTACGCTCCTTCTCTGGGTAAAACAAGGCCGTCTTTTCTGTGAACATATTTAAAGCAAGAACTGCAAAAACTGTGCAATGTTATGGTTGAGGCTTTCTATTTGCCATATGTGTTGACAGAATGCTTAAGAGTCTCTCTCCGCAGTAAACGCAGACCCTGCCAGGCTGAAATATTAGGGCCGGCGCAATTCAACGACTGCACCACCACCGAACTGCTGGGTTTGGAAGCCTGCGTTGCATCGGAGCGTACCCAATGTTTCCTCTAACAAAGGCATGATCTTGAGGTCATTTCGCGGGCCATTTTCCCCCTCCCAGCGCCAGCTTTGTCTCCCCGCCGGTGTGAGGCTGAGACTTGGAGGCTGAGCTGCGCGGCTGGGGAACAAGCTCCAAGGGCGGGCGTGGGAAGCTGCGCGGCACTGCCGCTGTGGTTTCCTGCGACCTGAGCGTGCCATTAGAGGAAGTTGGAACGCTGCAGCTGCAAGAGATACCTGCTGCCTTCAAATAGGGGCTGGACTCCAGCAACCCTTGTGCACCGATTACTGTTGTACAAAGAAACTCCCTCGGCCGGGGCGGGGGAGGCCTGGGGGCTATCTGTCTCCCTGGCTGGGCGTGGGGCCGCAAGCAGGCAGCAGGGTCGGCGTCGCCAGCGTTTCCCACCTTGGGGGGCTCGCGAGCAGGGGAAGTGCGGGGTCGAGGAGCCGGCGGGGAGAGGCGGGCAGGCCCGGGGACCCGGGCCGGAGCGGGCCTCACGCCGCGCCTCGCACGCGAACCCGCGGCCGCCGGCGGCCCCTCCCCCGGCCCCCGGCCCCCGGCCCGCCGCCCCCAGCCACAGACGTCGGGCCGCACCGCCCCCGCGCGCTGACTGGCCCGCGCCAGCCTCCAGCCAGGCTGTTGGCGGTTAGGGCGAAGCCGGCGGGAGGGCGCCCCGCCCCGCCCCCGCCGCGGAGTCGCGGCGCGCAGCCTCTTTCCCCCTTCACGGTCGGGGCGGTGGCGCTGTAGCCGCCGCGGCCTGTGAGGCAGTAACTCCCCTCCGCCCCTGCCCCATTCCTCCTCCTTTCTCTCCACTCCCTCCTACCTCCCTCCCCTCGCAGTCTCTCGCTCGAGTGAATGTGGCGCGGCGGCGCGGGACGCAGCCTCGGCCCCTACCGCGGCCCGGCGAGCTCGTGAAGAGACGAAGCTGTCCCCTGCTCCCGCCCCCTGCTTGTCTCCTGGAGCCACCACCGCTGGGGAAGGAGAACAAGGAGGGCAGCGGAGGGACGGCGGCGGGAAAACGGGAGAGGGAGGAGAAGAGGGTTCGAAGACTAGTGGGGAAGGCAGGGAGGGACGGACGAAGGACGGACGGCCCGACTAGGGGGCCGCCATTGAGCCTGCCAGGCTCTTCGGCTCAGGCTCCGAGTGACGGCGGCAGCGGCGGCGCGGACGAAGGGCGCGGCAAGCACTGTCGAGACAATAACCCTGCCGCCCGGCTCTGGGGGCGGCGGAGAGGAGCGGTGGCGGCCTAGCGCGACCGAGGCTCGTCGAGCGCCTGGTCAGTGTCCTTGCCCCCGCCGGCCGGGTGCCGCCGCTGTCCGTTGTGCGGGGCGCGCCAGTTGCCCGGAGCCCTAGGCTCCCGGCGGCTGTCCCCTCCCCTCCCCCTCTCCGGTGCGCGCGGAGCTGGTTTTCCGGGTTCCCCTGGACGGAGCTGGATCCTGCTTTTTGCCAAGGCAGGAAGTGAGTTTCGCACTGCAATTCCGGGCGGTGTCACGAGTGTAAAGTTTTTTTTTCTCGGCGGAGATCCTAGTTGGGGCTGGGAAACTCCTGCAAAACTCGAGACCAGGAAGCCAGCCCGCACCCCAACCCCCACCAAAGCCACCTACTCTTCTGCTTGAGGCCAGTCCACATCCGCTCTCACCCGAGAGAGAAATTCAGCTGGATCCAAAGTGACTAATGAAGGAAAGGAAATCATGTCAAGCGAAGCCTTGAAAAAGCTGCCCTGAGACGCTATCCCACCGAAAGGTAATTTTCACGAAAAGCGTCTCTGAGTCACAATGTTCATGGGACTTTGTGACTCGGAAAAAGAGATGAACTTTACTGTTTTTCACTTTTCTCCAGTTGTCCTAAATCCTCCTTTTCTCATATAGAAGCGGATAATAATTAAGGGGCCAATTGGTCGAACTGCAGCCCCTCCCCCCACCCCCATCTGGACTTTGGATTTTTTGGAAGAGGTTGTTAGAATGCAGTGGGACGAAAAGTTTTCAGCAATCCGAAGAAACGAGTGTCTTTGTTCAGTACAGGGGCCAGAAGTTTTGACTTTCTCGAACGTACAGAGTGTATGTTAAGTTGCTCAGTCTGGCACCTTCTGTTTGGGAAGAAAGTTTGGTCGCTGCTGCGAGTGATTTGCTGTTATTGAGATGGCTGCCGCGTTTGTTTATACTCCTACCGATTATATTGGCACTTGCGTAAATCGAATATAGAAGTTTTTATTTTTTTTCCCAACCCTAATCAGTATATTTCGTTGGATTTTAGAAACAACTACTAAAAAATCTTGCCATTCTTAGTTGTTTTACAGAGTGGATAATATATTTCTTTAGTTGTGTAGTAACGTGTGTTTTTCAGAAGGTTAGCGCCGTATAACTTGTTTAATTAATTGAAAGCAAGTATCGACTAGACTTTTCTTGTAACTGATCCATTAGGAAAAAAGGAGTGAGGACTAAGCATAGAGAGGTGTAATTAAACGACAATAACAACAACCTGTAAGACGTTTGATTTCTTAGGACTTCTGTACAGTTCAGAGCAGACTGGGAAGTAAAACGCTTAAAACGATTTTCAAGGGAATCGCAGTGATTGTGATAAAAAGCTGTACTTTTTGAGTAGTATGGTATTTACATTTTTGTGTTGGCCCCAATGTTTTTGGTCGGTTCTGCCTAAATAGTGATAGGTTCTGCCTAAATCTGTGGGGGCAGAATTCATGAAGCATGGCAGACATTCCACCAGTCAGAGCTATGAACACTTCTGAACCAATGGGTCGTCTTCATAGATCGAACTAGTTTTGATAGCAGTAAACTCACACTTTTTTTCAGTGGTGGTGTAGTCTTTTTCTGTTTAGTTTTTTCCCCCAGTACTTTTGTGGTACAGGGAGGTGAAATACAATACTGTACTTTTGAATATATATGAAATAAATTTGGTATCCTGGTGGTAAGTATATCCTAAATATATACTGATGTTTAGATTGCCTATGCTATTTCACGTAATGACCGGAAACTGGAGGAGAGAGTTGATTTCTTAGTTCAAAGAGGAAAAATTAGGTTTTAAAGTTCAGGATAAAATTATTTCACAATTTGTTCTTTGCTACTTGAGCTTCATTAAGTACATTTCCAAAGGCAGTCTTTTATTTATTACTGTAGTTTTTAACTTTTTCTCCCCTCCAGGGCATCGTCTCAGGAGATTTTTTTTTTTTCATTGTTGGTAAGATTTGTGAACCATCAAGTAATTCCTGTTAAGTCAAACTAGCTTTATCAAATAATTTAAAATGCATAACTGATCTACTGTATGATTTTGGAACACATCATTAGGCTGCAAAAGAGGTTATTCTTGGGCATCTGAAAGAGCTCAACAAAATAAATGACATTGAACTTCAGTTTCCTTATATGGCTTATACTTGGCTTCAAAGCAGCAAAACCTTAACAGAGCAAGTCCTTTACAGAGAATTATCGCTTTATGAAGATGGTTGTTTATTAGCAAATTTTGAATAAAAAAGTATTGCAGCACTTGAAAATGACTATTTGAACCTCTATTTTTAGATTTAGTTCTTGATTTTTTTTTCCAGGAGAAGAGTAGTATGTTTCAGTGCAGGCAACACATTTTATAAAGTGTGGTGTTTACCTTTGTGTTTCTTTTTTTCTTCTCAGTAAGGCCTAAATTACTTCGTAGTTTACTTGGAATTCTGTTAATAACTGAATTAGCTTAAATTTTAGTTTTTATACTATTGTCAAACTGTAAATATTTTTGAAGTCTTGTTTAAACCGTGATAGGTTTGAAAAGAGGTTAAAAGAACACAGTTAAAATATTTTAAAATGGCTTCAAAATTTGGATATTTTTAGTATGGTCTGGATTTTCTTAGATTAAATTGGGAAATAGAGAGTACTTCCAAAGTGCATATTGCACAAAATGGATGCTTAAAGGCTGTATTTATTCAAGGTAATTATGAATTTTCAGGACTTCAGCTGATTCAAGTAGTACTAAGGTATGAAGTCTCCTTGCTGTTTGAGATCAAACTATTGTAAACTTTATGTATAAAAAGCTTACAGTGGTACAAACATGGAACACAAATTTTTATTGTATGCTATTTCTTAATGAAGTGATAGCTATAGATACAATTTAACATATTGGTAAATCTCTAAAATAGATGATTTTAGACATTGGTGTTGAACTATTAGTAGAAAATAGGTGTATATTTCAAAATTACTTATTTGAAATAACTGCTTATAGATAATATGATTTAGACTTTAAGTTGCTTTTGTTTTGGAAATAGATTATGGCGGTATTTACAAAGTATTTTGGATTATGCAGAATTTTAGTGATGTTGAGTAACAGCTTTTTTTTTCTGTAATTGCTGCTTATCCAGATTCTCTTTACATACCTTACTTGGCTGCTTGCATTTTGACTCTTTGCCTTTCTCATTCATTTCTCTAATCTGTTACTTGCTTGCTTGAGTTTTCTTTTTCCGGGAATACATTTCTATTCTAAACCTGTAAAGATGTCTTTGTCTTTTCTTTTCCTTTTTTTTTTTTTTTTTTTTTGAGATGGAGTCTTGCTCTGTTGCCCAGGCTGGAGTGCAGTGGCCACGATCTTGACTCACCACAACCTCCACCTCCCAGGTTCCAGCGATTCTCCTGCCTCAGCCTCCCAAACAGTTGGGATTACAGGTGCATGCCACTGCGCCTGGCTAATTTTTGTAAATATTTAGTAGAGACAGATTGATTTAGCCTTGTTGGCCAGGCTGGTCTTGAACTCCTGACCTCAGGTGATTGGCCTGCCTTGGCCTCCCAAAGTGCTGAGATTGCAGGCATGAGCCACTGCGCTCTTTTTTCTTTTCTGACAGCATATATTTTATCTATGTTTAGCTGTTTACAGTGGATTGATTATTCAGTTTTTGAATGTACACTATACTGCCATAGAATATGTATACATGAATTATGCTCTGTAATATTTGCTTTTGAGTTTTGTAAGGAAATAAGTTCAGCGTTTTTGCTTTTCACTCTTGTTTTTTCCTCTACGATGTTATTTTCTTTCTGGGTACCCAGGTACCCAACTTGCTAATTTTTTTTTTAAAGTTGGAGTCTCTTTTGCTTGCTAATTTTTTTTTTAAAGTTGGAGTGGAGCGACACGATCTCAGCTCATTGCAACCTCTGCCTCCCGGGTTCAAGCCTTCTGAGTAGGTAGGATTATAGGCCTGTGCCACCAAACCAGGCTAATTTTTGTATTTTTAGTAGAGACAGGGGTTTCACCCTGTTGGCCAGGCTGGTCTTGAACTCCTGACCTCAGGTGATTTGCCTACCTTGGCTTTTCAAAGTGCTGGGATTATAGATATGAGCCACCATGCCCTGCCTACTGCTAACTCTTGAACCATACTACTCCCATTTTTCAGATTCACCATTTAGTGTCTCTTCTTAGGTTTCATAATTGTAAAATAGAAATAAAGCTGCTATTCAGCTTCTGATTCCTTAGCTTCCTATTTTTATAGTTTCATTGACCTAGCCTATTTTCTCTGCATTTAGCTGGTTCTTAATTATATTTTGCCATTTTTCTCTTTTCCAAACTCTGTTAGTCTGTGTTTAGCACCTCAAAAAACTGTTTAAAACATGCAGTAGAAAAAAATTTATCTGATCTTATTTTATCAGCTCATTTACTTCTGAACTTCCACTTTGTATTTCAACTCAGTGTACCTGCCAGTATTTTAACAAATTCATCAGTATATTGTTTTGTTTTATACTTTGTTTCTTTAGTGTTCTCAAAATTGACTGTTAAGATAATACCAGGCTATTATTTATTCTTTTGCATTAAGACTTTATAACCCCCTCTACCTTCTTGTTTTTATACTCTTGGCCTCTTAAAACATACAGACTTAATTCTCTGTTCCTTCTTCTCTGTATCTTCCTCTTCTGTCCTACCTTCCAATTTAGATGTCTTCTCTGTCACAGAATTCCTTAAATTTTGAAATTATCTTCCTTTGAGTTCACTCTATCACTCTATTTTTGTCATTTCAAATTTTGTTCCAGACACCATCGAATGAAGATCTTGCCAGGTTTTAAGTGATAGTATGGAAGACAATAGAAAAGAAGAATATCTAAAAATTTACTTAATAAGACTTTACTTATTGGAGATTATTTGTTATAGCTTTAAAAGCATATAGAATGTAGTAGAAAAACTAGAAAATAAAAAATGACATCTTCTTAATCAAAACAGGTATAACAGAATCTGGGGACTTCACTTTTAGGGCTAATATTCAGAGCCCCTTTACTTACGTGCATAATGAGCTGATGATTTTGGTTCTTTGGTGTCCTAGAAGGGGTGAGAAAGGCATGTTTACGGCATTGTGAAGTTAGGACCTGGCATTACAGTGAAGCAATAGAAAAATAGAAAGATGACTGAATGACTTAGAAAATATTCTGTGACAACTTACTTTGAGGAGAAGTGCCTTGTACATGTCATTTGTCTGTAGGAGGATTCACTCTGTTTTAACATGGCATAATTACAAGAAATAGTAGTAGCCGTAAGGCAATTGTTCTCAAACTTTGGTTTGGCTCAAAACAAATTTAAAAAATTTATTTAAAAATAGCAAACTATTGCATGTTAATATGACATTGTTTTAATAAAAATATAATTGTTTTCTAAAATATTTAGCAAAATGAGTGACAGTGTTTTATATTTTTACAGGTCTTTTATGTTTGGCTTAATAGAGAAAGCAGAATTCTCATATCTGCTTCTTCATTCCATCTGTTGCAAATATATTCTTTTGGTTGAAGTGTGTGAAGAAAATTCAGCCTTAGGCAGTCATTTGGTTGGAAAAGGGAGGAATATTTTCATATTCTTTGTAGATAATTGTAGATGCTTTTTGATAACAAAATTTGACAAGTAGTTGATATGTCAAAATTTGGTAACTAGTAACATTTTAAAAGGTTGTGGCAATGTTGAATGTAAGACCATGTCAGTGAATTTTTTATTTCTTGTTACCTTGATACTCCATTGGTTTATCTTGTACTTTGGATAAATCTTTTACCCATTCATAATTTTGTAACATCCTGCATTTGATCATTTTGAAAATATTGGT